CAGGTGGTTTAAGTTGAAAATGAAACTCCACCTGCTGCCTTGAAAATGCAATTTAAGTCAACAAGAAAATTGTTTTGGTTTCAACTCAGAAATTAAAATTCATGAAGTTGATTTAATGACAGACAAGTTGTCTAAACATTATATTTTAACCTCTTAATCTTGAATTATGAGTTTTAAGTTAATGCTGCAATTTAAACCACATAATTATTTCACAATATGCAAGAACAAAAATAGATAAAGAGCCATATTTCTCTGTTACTATACTCACAATATCAAGTTAAAATAAATACTTATTTTACTTTAGAATAATTTAAACTCTTGTTTCAAACTGCAGGAACAAAATTTCTGATCTGATAATGAATTTTATTAAACATCCCAATGAATTCAGCTCAGAAACATTTAGTCGAACAGAACATTATCATCAAGCTTTGCTAACTGAGAATTGCATTAAAATGAACATTTGCCTTAATAAAACACAAGAGTCAGATCAATGTGACGCACTTCTATCTCAGGAGACAAAAACATGCCGCTAAGCATTCTGGGAAATAGTTCCCACTCCTGTCTTTTTCCTCTTTCAGTTTTTTAAGTGCTAACATAAAAACTCTAGTTTATTCAACTCTTGCAGGTTTGACTGAATTAATAAAAGTTAACAACTTACTGTAAGTTTATCTTTCACAAACTGCATTTAGGTTCAACATCTAAAACTGGATATATTTGTTTGACTTAGAGAGGAAAAGATAGACACAACTAAACACAGCTCAAATGTTTTACAGTGTGAAGACTTTGTTCCAGCCTCACCTTGCATCAGGAGATTTTTGCTCTCCATCCGTTTACTCATCGTGAAGGAAAACGCCTCGTTAAGTTCTGCTAACAATACAGACTCCTGGCGCTGCTGAGCCTGGTTTAATAATAAAACTGTTTTTTTGTCTCATGAAGGCGATGTGACGAAGTGCACACCACTGATAAACTCTGAGAAGCTACTGCATGTTTTCGTTTAACATGACTATATATCAGTTAAACTGTTTTTTGTTTTGTATTGTGAAACAATTAGTAAAGTCAGCAGCAGGTAGCGATTATGCCTGACAGAAGTTCATTTATGTTTTTCTAACCTCAAAAATTAGTCTGGAGGGGAAAATATGAGTCAAATGAGGAAACATGCAAAAGGGTAAATTTTGAACTCCTTTCTTCTCTGCTGAATTCACAGGGTTTTACGTCAAGAAAAAATAGTTGATGTTTGCATCTGATGCGGTGGAGGTAATATTAGGAAAAGCTGAGTGACAAGGTTCAGTCTTTACTCCAACAGTGAGATAATAAAGCTTCAGAAGTTTTGTTTTTACAAACATTTTCCTCTAACAAAACATTTCTGTGTGATATTAAATTCACCCCAGCACGGGAAAGAAAATGTATGTCCTACAACTTACCCACAAAATCTGGGGTAGTCTATTTTTCTTTTTATTTTAAATTCTGACTCACTTCACCAATCTATCACATTCAGCAAAATAGCTGCAGAGCATCGTGGGACAGAGATTAATCACCACGGTGGCTAACAATGAGCACAGCGCTCCTGGGGGTTAAACTCATTCAGCGTCCGCCTCCCTGCAAACGTTTGCTCACCTTGGCCAAATAACTCACGCACTGCAAAAACACAAAATCTTACCAAATAAATTTGTTCTAGTTTCTATCGCAAATACTTTAGTTCATTTGAAATAAGACAAAATTAACTTAAAAGTAACTTTTCAGCAAGATATAGAAAGTACTTTAAAGTCAATAATTCCTTAATATTGAGGAAGAAAATACGAGTTCCATTGGAAGATTATTTAACTTATATCCTGGGAAAAATGTCTTGTTATAAGTAAAATAATCTGCCAATGGAACTAGAATTTTTTCATCAAGATTAATGAAAAATTGATTTAAAACAAGCTCCCATATCTTGCTGAAAAGTTACTTGTATGTTAGTTTTGTGTTATTTCAAGTAAACTAAAATATTTGTGATAGAAACTAGACCAAAAACACTTGGTAAGACTTTGTGTTTTTGCAGTGTACTGACTCAGCTGTTGTGGTAAACTAATTGCACCTCAAGCTGAAAATTTCAGACGTTCTTAAATCTGATAATAAATTGTACATACTTAAACAGGCAAACTTAGTTTTGAACTAAACGTTTTATAATTGGGAACATACAAACCCAATATTTTTCCAATACTCAACTTTGGGAGCAAGTAAAATTTAAAACGGTACATTTTATGTTCAAAGTAAGAAACCATCAACTTCCAATACATAAATACAAAAATGTTTTGTTACAGTTTTTAAAAGGAAACATTACAAAATAAAAACCAACCTGTTTCAAAATTAGCTTATTGTGAAATCTGTTATAAGGCCTAAAATGTTCATTTTAAAAAAATGTTTAATTGTACATTGAAGGATGAGAATATGACGTGCAAGTTTCATTCAATGTGGGAATAATTTAAGAGTTTATCTGGTGTGGGAGGTTTAAATGTTTGTAGGTTGTGAGTATGAGAGGGTCAGAAAATCATACACTGCAAAAACAAAATCTTACCAAGCATTTTTGGTCGAGTGTTTTGTGCTAGGTTTTATATCTGTTATTTGTCTGAAATAAATGAATCATTCATTCAAACTGCAAAGTGGTGCACCAGCTCTTCATTTACTTGATGCAATTATCACAAAAAAATTGTGGCGCCCTCTGACAGAGTGGTGCCCTGGGTGGTGCGCCATATCCTCCTTTTCAAAACTAATCTCTGCACCTTTTAGATGAAGCTCTGTTCTGTCTTTAGTTCTGTGAGCTCTCCTGTAGATTTTTAATAATGCCGCTAAAGGATTACCCAAACCGTTTATATAGACAAGGTAGATTGTGAGACAGTGATGAGCCATTGGTTTTACTTGAAACAAAAAAGCTCTGGGAAGAAAATTGAAGGGGATGGGTTTTCCTCCAGTCACTGCAGATTCAATGGGCTCTGCTCATAATTCAATCTGCTGCAAATCTACAATCGCTGTGCAAGCCTTTGTGCTGCAGTTTCACCAGAAAGTGGTTCAGATTTGAAAGAACCTCAGGAGAAAGAGGGTAGATAAAAGAGGATGTGTGTTAGAGAAACGAGGTGACTCGGCTAAAAGATGGAAGAGCAAATAAAAAATTTATTTGACATATTGTACTGAGATGTCAAGGTGACCTTGCAGACTAAAATAAGCAGATTTTAAAAAGCTTTAAGTAAAATGTAACACAAATAAAGTAAATATTACTAAAAGTTGGAGTGAACTCTGCTAATTAAATTACACTTCTTGAAGAAAACAAGCCAGATCATACATTTGTAAACAGTATTTCCTTTACAGACAATAAGGTCAGTAGATGACATGATACAAATGTATTCATGTTAAAAGCAAGCAGAAAGATCTGAGATTTTATATGCTGATACAAGCAATCACTAAAGGATTGTTGTTGCATTTTAGAAAATAAAATGGTTATTTTATTTTCTAGAAAATGTATTTATTTGCATCTTTTAATGTACAAAATGGTTAATGAAAAATCTGCAGAATGAGACAATTTTTTTGTGTCTTGTTAATAAACTACTAAAAGTAACTCCAGTCCCAGCTTTAGCTCTCCCAGCAGGCTAAAATATGTCTCTTATTATACTTCAGTCTAGAAAATATGAATAATTTCATTTATTTAATGTCATACAGTGAGGAAAAATGGCTCATGCAAGTAAATATCTGATGAACAGAATAATAAAAGATCAAAAATACTCATTGTGCTCTGAAAGACAGAGCAGACAGGAAAATATAGGAGTTCACTTTGGCTAAATGGATTAAACTGGATGGTTGCTGAAATGGGCAGGAGACAGTCCAAAATTCAAAGTCTGATTTATGTAACAGCAAAGCCAAGTGGGTGTTTTCACCTGTTTGACTTGAATACAAATAATAATAATAATAATAAAAAACAGTTAAAAATCGTAAAATAAAAATATGGTAGTCTAGGAAAACCAACTTTAAATTCTCAAATTAGATGTAAATGCACAATCTGCATCAGGCATTAAGCCCAGCATCGTTGTTCTCCCGCTGCATGGTGCCTGTGCGTCCTTAACGGAGCGCATGATCACAAATGTCTGACAAAGACCACTTCATCAGCTCATGTCTCCCCTCGCCACAGGCCCCTGGCTCTCCTCCGCTGCGAAAATATCTTCCAAACCGCATAAATATTTATGTCCATTAATAGTAAAGAGGCAGCAGAGTGGATGCATAATGCTCCGCGCTGGTCCTCCGACGGCCACGACGTCTCTGTCGCCATGGCAACGGAGTGGAGCAGGACTCGGTTGTCCCCGCCAAAACCAGCAGCTCGGGTTGTTAAGAATCGCTGCGGCGTCATGAATATTCATGCTGATTTGCAGCAACTTCAGCGTCTGAAGGACATGTGTTCTCGATGTAACACACTCTGAACAGGCTGACGTTAAAAAAAAAAAGTGGAAGAGAACATGAGGGGGGGGGATGACCTCTGACCTTCTTGGAGAGGTTGTCATCAAGCTCAGGACACTTTGACCAGATTGACCCTTTGCAACTACGCCACTTAATCATTCGAGGGACAAGAGTCTTGATCAGAAAATTGTTTTGCAAAGTTGTTATTGCCAGTTTATTCATGGTTTCTACTTGTTAGCGTCGAGCTAATTTGACAGTGAACGTAACAGCTAGCTTAGAAACCGACCGATAACTCCCCCCTCCTGACGCGTTGATCTAATTACACGCTATATGACGCATAATTAGATCAACACGTTGTATAATTACGTGCCTGAAATATCATAAACAGTGTTTCCCCTTGAGCCAGAGCAACCTGAAAACGTAAAAAAGATCAGATGCTAACCAGTTGTTTCCGTACATGCTAGGCTACATGGCGGCGCAGCACCGTTTCCATGGTTACCAACCGTTAGACACTACATTCGCCATAGTTAGATATTTGATTTGTCTCTACCTATACAGTATATTAGCGTTCATCTTCTTACCTTTATAGAAGTGTTCACTGTAAATCCGCGATTCCGCCGAGGGCCGACAGTCATGATTAACGGCGGCTGCTGTTCGTCAGCGCCGTAACTTTCCTCATTAAAAGTCATAAAATAAGTTTGGCTTATATCCTTCTCTGTCTCTAAAGCCGTCCGCATTCCATCCCATGACCATTTCTAAAGTGAAACCGACAAAATAAAAGTGACACATTAGGTTACAGACGCCTGTTTTTAGACCAGCTTTAAAGGAGCGCGTTGGTCGTTTTGACGTCATGGCGGAGTGGGCGGAGTTCTGGAGAGCGTGACGTCACGCGCAAGAGCAGGTGAGGCATTTCTTTCCATTCCCCATGCCGGTGTCTTAAGTTCCTTAGTCCGTAATTCAAGAATGGAGCGAATTTGCTATTAATTTAAATTTTTAAAGACAAGTACAATCTTCTTCAATACTTATCTATTCAGATATAAGACAGAGTATTTGACTCTGTTAGCAATGTTTGCATTTTTGAAACCAGCAAACGCTGCACAATTTATTATTTTTTTTCCTTTGTGTTTAATAAAGTGTTTTTGAATTTGAATTGAACAACTTTTGTTGCAAAAATGTAAATAAAACAAAATTAAAAAAGAAAAAAAAATAAGACAATAAAACCCCCAGACCTCCAAAAAGCTTCGGAGAATATTTACATGTCCTTTAATGCTGCAGTTGTGCAATACCTCATTTATGTTTTGGATCAACAATGGTTTGCAGACTCCAAATCTGCTTTATTAAATTAGTATCTATTTAGTATGGTAAAGACATGAAAACAACAAATGTCTTAAGAAAGTCACCTTTAATTAAAACAAAATGAAGTGTTCTCACCTTGACAGTTTTCACCCCCATCATAAATAGTCTGTCTTAAGGAGTTTTATTGTTCTGGAGCGCTCAGATGGGAGAATTTTAAAATAAATACTTGGGACTGAACAGACGGCACATAAACAAACAAATAATTGCAGTTTTACTGCACTGCTGTCCAACACAAACATGCTGTTGGTGCTGCTGCTGCTCTGGGCTTTATTCTGTCAAAGCATTGAAGTTTTCCGTCGGCGGACATGATGTCTGCTTGCTTTGACATCTCCTCTGGGAGATCCAGCAGTTCTGCTGTGTAAAAAATGGATGGAGAACAAAGGTATGATTCAGCTGGAGACGGAGGATGATACACAAACAAAAGACAGGAAAACACCAATAAATGAGGTGTGCCTCAAAAAACAGAAACGCAATGTTGGCTCTGTGAGAGATTATCGGGCCACCCAGCAGGAGAGATTTCCTTACTGACTGACTGCTTTCAAGGTAATGCGACTTTTTTCTCCAGCCTCCTTCGGGTTCCTGTTGCAAGAATTACAATAACATTTAATCACTGTATGAACAACACATATAATATCTAGCAGAGTATATTTCAAACCAAAACATGAAGAAAAACTGGTCAAAATTTCTCTGGAACACGTGTCAAACTCAAGGCTTGTGGGCCAAATCCGGCTCGCCGTAGCATTTTATATGGACCTCTAGATTCCAGATAAACATTAAGCGAGCTTATTATGTTTTCAATCAAATCAATATAGTTTTTAATCTGTTTACTGCCAAATTATATAAATCAGTCCCTCAAATTTCTTGAGGATTATTGTGGACATTCACACAAAATCAACTAATCCCTACACTTTTTGAACTATAACATAATTGGTGTTTATTGCAGATTTTTCTAAAAATTGCCAAAAACTTTCTTACTTGTACTCAACAGCTGCCTCAGCCTTAATTGATGTCATATTAAAGTCGTTGCATTTACCATCATAAATAAGTGTAAATATTTCCAAATTAATACCACAAACACTTTGAATTTTATTGCTAAAAATCACAAGAGGTATTATGAAATCGTGGACGGACTGAGAACATGTTCAATAATATTATTTAATTTATAAATAAGGAATTCATACATATTTTAACAGTTTGGTGAACAGGTTTTATTAATATGCATAACCGGCCCTTTTAGAGCAGTTAGGATCTTGATTCAGCCCAAAGCAAGAATGAATTTGACACCCTGATAGAGAAAGTGAGGATGTGCATTTTAAGTTTTAAACATTTACTGTAAATACTGAAAAAAAGCATGAAAAGTCGTGTGAATTATTGAACGGTTAGTTGTATAACAGCTGTTGATTCAAATATGTACCCATTCAGTAATTATTTTTTTATGAATTATTTCAATTTTGATCTTAAAATACCAACATTTCTACATAATCTTACTGTCGGATTGAGTTTTAAATATTAAATGATTGACAATTTGATCAGTTACTTTGTGTTTGAGTTATCGTTTTTACCAAATACTTTTTGGGGCAGAGCTCTTGTAGCCATTGTAGCCATCAACCATTACTTAATATACCAATAAATGTCTGGAGAAACAGCTTCTTCACTCAACAAAGATAAATTCAAAGAAGAAATAAACACATTTCGACAAACTTCACATCTAAAATACTGTTAAAATAAAACGCAGTTTCATATAGAGGGATTTTATATGTTAACAGAATTTTAAAAATAAAATTACATTTTAGGTTCTAAATATTTAACTTACTGCAGTCCACCTGTATCATCGCTTTAAGATTGATTACAGAATAATGTTTCATGTTCAGAGTGACATCTTGAAGCGCGTCTCCCTCCCTAACGGGCGATTTTTAGATCTGCAGACTGTGCATGATGACAGAGGGTCTCATCTGAGCCTGAGGACAGTGAGACAGCAACACCCAGAAATACACAAACACACATGCCGCTCATTGTAATACAGGTCGTCAATATGGCCTGACCTAGAAATGCTGTCTGCACGAAGGCTGCTCAACAAGCTGAAACAGACTGACAGGCTCAAAACACTCCAAATCCCCCCCCCTTCCCAGCTCTGCTCCCCCTTTAAAAGCCTGGATTAACTCAAAAACAAGTTTAAAAAAAAATACATGTAGAGAAAAATTCACAGTATTTCTGAAGGTAAATTTTTTATGCTGAAACAAAGCACGGAACAGATTCGGGTGGAGTGCCGTAGCTGATCCAAATTGAAGCTGCTGAGCGTGAGGTTGTCAGCAAAAGAAATAATTAGCTCCAGCATGTCTGCGACTTTTTCTCTGTGACTCCGTATGAACCACACAACACAGCCAAAAGAAAGCTGGCAAACCATGGAAACAACATCTACCAGCAGAGAGAGATATGGATATGCTCCCTCTCTTCTGCCTGTGTTTGTCTTTCCTCCTTCTGGAGGGACTGTCAGAGTCTGAGGGGCGATCTCGAGTGCAGCAGCAGAGGAACAAGAGGTGGGTGGATGCTGAGGCAGAAAGATGTTTTGAAGGTGAAGAGGGTGAAACGTCCCACTGTAGTAGGTCTGTTTATAGTTTGCAGACAAGGACGTGGCAAGGGTATTTTGGGTCATGTCGAGATCGTTTATGACATGACGCAAAAGGGTCTGCACAGAGATGCAGTTGGTAGCACTGTTGCCTTGTAGCAAGGAGGTCCTGAGTTCGATTCCCAGCCTGGAGTCTTTCTGCATTGAGTTTGCATGTTCTCCCTGTGCATGTAATACACATAACACAACTTCTTTATTGATTTTCATGTGTTATATATAACCAAAGTGGCTGATATCAGTAAATCCTACCAATGGCTGAAAAAAGCTGGACTCAAGGACAGCACAGAGGCCCTCATCCTGGCCGCCCAGGAACAGGCCCTAAACACCAGAGCAATAGAGGCCCAGATCTACCACACCAGACAAGACCCAAGGTGTAGGTTGTGCAAGGAGGCCCCTGAGACAGTCCAGCACATAACAGCAGGGTGCAAGATACTGGCAGGGAAAGCGTACATGGAGCGACATAACCAAGTGGCAGGCATAGTGTACAGAAACATCTGTGCAGAATATGGACAGGAAACCCTGAGATCAAAGTGGGAAACAACCCCAAAGGTGGTGGAGAACGCCAGAGCTAAGATCCTGTGGGACTTCCAGATCCAGACAGACAAAATGGTAATGGCAAACCAACCAGTCATTGTCGTAGTGGATAAACATCAGAGGGAAGCCGTTGTGGTAGATGTAGCAATACCAAGTGATTGCAACATCAGGAAAAAGGAGCACGAGAAACTGGAGAAATACCAGGGCCTCAGGGAAGAACTGGAGAGGGCCTGGAAGGTGAAGACCACAGTGGTACCTGTGGTCATCGGGGCCCTCGGGGCAGTAACCCCCAAACTGGAGCAGTGGCTACAACAGATCCCAGGAACAACATCAGACATCTCAGTCCAGAAATGTGCAGTTCTCACACTCACTAGTCCTCTGCCTCCTTCCTTGCGGCTCGTGTGTACAGTCTCAGGGTGCTGGATTTGGAATGGAACCCTCCATGCATTGTTAGTTTTCTGGTCTTAATATCTGTGGCTTTTATCTCCTCCTTTGGCCAGCTAATATATATATATATATATATATATATATATATATATATATATATATATATATATATATATATATATATATATATATATATATATATATATATATATATATATATATATATATATATATATAAATTCCCTTCTCACCCACCGCGGGTGGTTTTTATCCTCTGAGCTCGGGTCCTCTACCAGAGGCCTGGGAGCTTGAGGGTTCTGCGCAGTATCTTGGCTGTGCCAAGGACTGCACATTTCTGGACTGAGATGTCTGATGTTGTTCCTGGGATCTGTTGTAGCCACTGCTCCAGTTTGGGGTTACTGCCCCGAGGCCCAGATGACCACAGGCACCACTGTGGTCTTCACCTTCCAGGCCCTCTCCAGTTCCTCCCTGAGGCCCTGGTATTTCTCCAGTTTCTCGTGCTCCTTTTTCCTGATGTTGCAATCACTTGGTATCTCCACCATATATATATATATATATATATATATATATATATATATATATATAAAAAAAAAAAAAAATTCCCTTCTCACCCACCGCGGGTGGTTGTTATCCTCTGAGCTCGGGTCCTCTACCAGAGGCCTGGGAGCTTGAGGGTTCTGCGCAGTATCTTGGCTGTGCCAAGGACTGCACATTTCTGGACTGAGATGTCTGATGTTGTTCCTGGGATCTGTTGTAGCCACTGCTCCAGTTTGGGGGTTACTGCCCGAGGGCCCCGATGACCACAGGCACCACTGTGGTCTTCACCTTCCAGGCCCTCTCCAGTTCCTCCCTGAGGCCCTGGTATTTCTCTAGTTTCTCGTGCTCCTTTTTCCTGATGTTGCAATCACTTGGTATTGCTACATCTA